GAAAACGGTGGGGTGTTTAGGGGAACGGGGGGGTTTTAAAAAAAGGACGGTGGGGTGAAAATTAATGGGACGGTTGGGGGTTAAAAAAAGGGGACTGGGGTGTAAAAACGGGGGTTAAATTAACGGGGGGGGGGTGTATTATGGGAAGGTGGGGGGTAAAATTAAAGGGGGGGGGGTTATTAAAGGGACGGGGGGTTATTGGGACGGGGGGGGTATTATGGGAAGGCGGGGGGTTTATGGGGGGTGGGGGGTTTTATGGGACGGGGGGGGTGTTTTATGGAAGGGGGGGGTATTTGGGAGGGGGGGATTATGGCCCGGGGGTGTTTTTATGGGAGGTGGGGTGTTTTGGGGGCGGGGGGGGGTTTTATGGGAATGGGGGATTATGGGACGTGGGGGTTTAGGGGCCCCGGGGGGGGTGTAATTTTGGGGTGGGGTGATTAGGGGACGGGGGGGGGTATTAGGGCGGGGGGGGTTTTTATGGGAGTGGGGGGTAATGGGAGGGGGGGTTATTATGGGCGGGGGGGGTGTATTTGGGACGGGGGGGTTATTATGGGACGGTGGGGGGTATTAGGGGCCGGGGGGTGTATTAGGGGAAGGGATTATGGGAAGGTGGGGGGTGGTATTATGGGAGAGGTGGGGGACGTGTATATTATGGGGACGGTGGGGGTGTATTATTGGGGACGGTGGGGGGTAATTAAGGACATCCGGGGTGTATTATGGGACGTGGGGGGGTGTTATTAGAGGGACAACGGCGGGGCGGGTATTATGGGACGGTTGGGGTGTATTAATGGGACCTGGTGGAGGGGTTGTATTATGGGACGGTGGGGGTCTTATTATGGGACTGGCTAGGGGGGTATTATGGGACGGCGGGGGGTATTATGGGACGGCTGGGGGGTATTATGGGAAGGGGGGGGGGTTGTATTATGGGACGGTGGGGGTATATTATGGACGGCGGTGGGTGCGCGCAATTGTATTTTGGGAAGGCGTGGGGGTATTATGGGAAGGTGGGGGGTGTATTATGGGACGGTGCGGGGGTGTGGCGTGGGAGGTATGGTGGTGGGGCGGTTGGGGGTAATAATTATGGAAGGCGGGGTGGGGGGAAGAGGGGGGTGTAATGTATTTGGTGTGCGCATTATTGGGACGGTGTGGGGGTTGTAATTATGGTTAGGCGGGGGGTGAACATTAAGGGTAAGGGGGGGGTATTATGGGACGGTGAGGGTAGTGATTGGGGCGGAGTTTGGTGACGGCTGGGCGGGTGTATTATGGGAAAGGCGGGGGTGTAGATGGGGACGAATGGGGGTATTATGGGAATAAGGGGGGGGGTGTATTATGGGAGGGCAGGGGTGGTATTCTGGGACATGGGGGGGCGGTATTTATGGTACAGGCGGGGTGGTTTATGGGACAGGTGGGGGGTATTAATGGGAACGGGGGGGTATTAATATAGTGGAAGGTGGGGTGTATTATGGGAGGTTCTGGGTGGGTGGTATTATGGGACGGCGGGGTGGGTCGTAATTAGAGGGACAGATGGGTGGGTGGGGGTTATAAGTATTATGGACGGTGGGGGGTGTATTATGGGACGGCGGGGGTGTATTATGGGACGATGGGGTGTATTATGGGACATCGGGGGTGTATTATGGGACGGCGGGGTGTATTATGGGACGGCGGGGGTGTATTATGGGACGGCGGGGGTGTATTATGGGACGGGCGGGGGGTATTATGGGACGGCGGGGGGGTGTATTATGGGACGGGGGGGTATTATGGGACGGCGGGGGGTATTATGGGACGATGGGGGGTGTATTATGGGACGGTGGGGGGGTATTATGGGACGATGGGGGGTGTTATGGGAAGGCGGGGGGGGGGACAGGGGGTGGGGTATTATGGGACGATGGGGGGTGTATTATGGGAAGGCGGGGGGTATTATGGGACGGCGGGGGTGTTATTATGGGACGGCGGGGGGTATTATGGGACGATGGGGGGGGTATTATGGGAAGGCGGGGGTGTATTATAGGACGGTGGGGGGTGTATTATGGGACGGCGGGGGGGTATTATGGGACGATGGGGGGTGTATTATGGGACGGCGGGGGGTATTATGGGAGGGGGGAGGTATATTATGGGAATGTGGGGGGGTATTATTGGAGGGTGGGGGTGTATTATGGGACATCGGGGGTGTATTATGGGACGATGGGGTGTATTATGGGACGGCGGGGTGTATTATGGGACGGCGGGGTGTATTATGGGAGGGCGGGGGGTATTATGGCAATGTGGGGGGTATTATGGGACGGCGGGGTGTATTTTGGGACGGCGGGGTGTATTATGGGAGGGCGGGGGGTGTATTATGGGAGGGCGGAGGGTATTATGGGAGGGCGGGGGGGGTATTATGGGACGATGGGGGGTGTATTATGGGACGGCGGGGGTGTATTTTGGGACGGCGGGGGGTATTATGGGAGGGCGGGGTGTATTATGGGACGATGGGGGGTGTATTATGGGACGGCGGGGGGTATTATGGGACGGCGGGGTGTATTATGGGACGGCGGGGGGTATTATGGGACGGCGGGGTGTATTATGGGAGGGCGGGGGGTATTATGGGACGATGGGGGGTGTATTATGGGGGGGGCGGGGTGTATTATGGGACGGCGGGGGGTGTATTATGGGACGGTGGGGGGTATTATGGGACGGCGGGGGGTATTATGGGACGGCGGGGGGTGTATTATGGGACGGCGGGGGGTATTATGGGACGATGGGGGGTGTATTATGGGACGGCGGGGGGTATTATGGGACGATGGGGGGTGTATTATGGGAGGGCGGGGTGTATTATGGGACGGCGGGGGGTGTATTATGGGACGGTGGGGGGTATTATTATGGGACGGCGGGGGGTATTATGGGACGGCGGGGTGTATTATGGGACGGCGGGGGGTATTATGGGACGATGGGGGGTTGTATTATGGGACGGCGGGGGGTATTATGGGATGGCGGGGTGTATTATGGGACGGCGGGGGGTATTATGGGACGATGGGGGGGTATTATGGGAGGGCGGGGTGTATTATGGGACGGCGGGGGGGTATTATGGGACGATGGGGGGTATTATGGGAATGTGGGGGGTATTATTGGAGGGCGGGGGGTATTATGGGACGTCCCCTCTGCACTCTGCACACAGACACGATGACGTCACACTTCCCTCTCTCTGATTTGCATTGATGGCGGACGATCGATCTGGACGATGCTCTGAGCCTCTCACCTGGAAGGTCGGGATTTTATGGCCCCGTATCGGCTGTCAGGTGGAGGATTGATTGGTGTGTTATCGGTGATTGTGTCTCCGGGGTTCTGTCTGTGGGGACAAGGGTCAGGCGGGACTGCTGATTGTACATACATGTTATAGACAGTCAGCTGGTGATACACCGTCCAGTCTGTCATACGTGTGCTCACATGTACACTATATTGCCCCAAGTATTGTCCCCGCCCCCCCCCCAATCATGTGATTCAGGTGTTCCCATCCCCTCCATATCATGTGATTCAGGTGTTCCAATCCCTCCCAATCATGTGATTCAGGTGTTCCAATCCCCTCCATATCATGTGATTCAGGTGTTCCAATCCCCTCCATATCATGTGACTCAGGTGTTCCAATCCCCTCCCAATCATGTGATTCAGGTGTTCCAATCCCCTCCATGTCATGTGATTCAGGTGTTCCAATCCCCTCCATGTCATGTGATTCAGGTGTTCCAATCCCCTCCATATCATGTGATTCAGGTGTTCCAATCCCCTCCATATCATGTGATTCAGGTGTTCCAATCCCCTACATGTCATGTGATTCAGGTGTTCCAATCCCCTCCATATCATGTGATTCAGGTGTTCCAATCCCCTCCATATCATGTGATTCAGGTGGTCCAATCCCCTCCATATCATGTGATTCAGGTGTTCCAATCCCCTACATGTCATGTGATTCAGGTGCTCCAATCCCCTCCTGGTCACGTGATTCATGTGTTCCAATCCCCTCCCAATCACGTGGTTCAGGTGCTCCAATCCCCTCCATATCATGTGATTCAGGTGCTCCAATCCCCTCCATATCACGTGATTCAGGTGCTCCAATCCCCTCCATATCACGTGATTCAGGTGTTCCAATCCCCTCCATATCACGTGATTCAGGTGTTTCCATTCACCTCCATATCACATGATTCAGGTGTTCCAATCCCCTCCATATCACGTGATTCAGGTGCTCCAATCCCCTCCATATCACGTGATTCAGGTGCTCCAATCCCCTCCATATCATGTGATTCAGGTGTTCCAATCCCCTCCATATCATGTGACTCAGGTGTTCCAATCCCCTCCATATCATGTGATTCAGGTGTTCCAATCCCCTCCATATCATGTGATTCAGGTGTTCCAATCCCCTCCATATCATGTGATTCAGGTGGTCCAATCCCCTCCATATCATGTGATTCAGGTGTTCCAATCCCCTACATGTCATGTGATTCAGGTGCTCCAATCCCCTCCTGGTCACGTGATTCATGTGTTCCAATCCCCTCCCAATCACGTGGTTCAGGTGCTTCAATCCCCTCCATATCATGTGATTCAGGTGCTCCAATCCCCTCCATATCACGTGATTCAGGTGTTCCAATCCCCTCCATATCACGTGATTCAGGTGTTCCAATCCCCTCCATATCACGTGATTCAGGTGTTCCAATCCCCTCCATATCACGTGATTCAGGTGTTCCATTCCTATCCTCCATATCACGTGATGATTCAGGTGTTCCAATCCCCTCCATATCACGTGATTCAGGTGCTCCAATCCCCTCCATATCACGTGATTCAGGTGTTCCAATCCCCTCCATATCACGTGATTCAGGTGCTCCAATCCCCTCCATATCACGTGATTCAGGTGTTCCAATCCCCTCCATATCACGTGATTCAGGTGTTCCAATCCCCTCCATATCATGTGATTCAGGTGTTCCAATCCCCTCCCAGTCATGTGATTCAGGTGTTCCAATCCCCTCCATATCATGTGATTCAGGTGTTCCAATCCCCTCCATATCATGTGATTCAGGTGTTCCAATCCCCTCCCAATCATGTGATTCAGGTGTTCCAATCCCCTCCCAATCATGTGATTCAGGTGTTCCAATCCCCTCCATATCATGTGATTCAGGTGTTCCAATCCCCTCCATATCATGTGATTCAGGTGGTCCAATCCCCTCCATATCATGTGATTCAGGTGTTCCAATCCCCTACATGTCATGTGATTCAGGTGCTCCAATCCCCTCCTGGTCACGTGATTCATGTGTTCCAATCCCCTCCCAATCACGTGGTTCAGGTGCTCCAATCCTCTCCATATCATGTGATTCAGGTGCTCCAATCCCCTCCATATCACGTGATTCAGGTGCTCCAATCCCCTCCATATCACGTGATTCAGGTGTTCCAATCCCCTCCATATCATGTGATTCAGGTGTTCCAATCCCCTCCCAATCATGTGATTCAGGTGTTCCAATCCCCTCCCAATCATGTGATTCAGGTGTTCCAATCCCCTCCATATCATGTGATTCAGGTGTTCCAATCCCCTCCATATCATGTGATTCAGGTGTTGCAATCCCCTCCATATCATGTGATTCAGGTGTTGCAATCCCCTCCCAACTCAATATTGAACCCTACGGACTAAGACTGGGGGGCCATTAAAGGTCATGTGCATGTAAATGCCGGCGGACCAATACTTGGGGCAATATAGTGTGTGTGTATATATCGTGCATCACTCCTGGTCTGGGCTGCATGGTGGAGTTGCCAGAATGAAGCCTTTATTGCACCAATGCCACAAAAAATCCCGGGTACAATATGGCCGACACCCGCAAATGGCTCACAGCTTCCGGCACTCTGTAATCCGAAGTGATGGGACCAAAATAGAGGTTTTGTGGTCACACCCAGGAGGAGATTTCCACACCCAGGAGGTGACTTCCACACCCAGGAGGTGACTTCCACACCCAAGAGGAAACTTCCACACCCAGGAGGAGACTTCCACACTCAGAAGGAGACTTTCATAGCCAGGAGGTGACATCCACACCCAGGAGGAAACTTCCACACCCAGGAGGAAACTTCCACACCCAGGAGGTGACATCCACACCCAGGAGGTGACATCCACACCCAGGAGGTGACTTCCACACTCAGAAGGAGACTTCCACACCCAGGAGGAGACTTCCACACCCAGGAGGAGACTTCCACACCCAGGAGGTGACATCTACACCCAGGAGGTGACTTCCACACTCAGAAGGAGACTTCCACACCCAGGAGGAGACTTCCACACCCAGGAGGAGTCTTCCACACCCAGGAGGTGACATCCACACCCAGGAGGTGACATCCACACCCAGGAGGAGACTTCCACACCCAGGAGGAGTCTTCCACACCCAGGAGGAGTCTTCCACACCCAGGAGGTGACATCCACACCCAGGAGGTGACATCCACACCCAGGAGGAGACTTCCACACCCAGGAGGAGTCTTCCACACCCAGGAGGTTACTGTCACACACAGGAGGAGACTTCCACACCCAGGAGGAGACTTCCACACCCAGGAGGAGACTTCCACACCCAGGAGGTTACTGTCACACACAGGAGGAGACTTCCACACCCAGGAGGAGATTTCCACACCCAGGAGGAGACTTCCACACCCAATAGACGACATCCACACCCAGGAGGCGACTTCTACACCCAGGAGGAGACTTCCACACCCAGGAGGTGACATCCACACCCAGGAGGAGACTGCCACACCCAGGAGGTGACATCCACACCCAGGAGGAGACTTCCATACCCAGGAGGAGACTTTCACACCCAGGAGGTGACATCCACACCCAGGAGGAGACTGCCACACCCAGGAGGTGACATCCACACCCAGGAGGAGACTGCCACACCCAGGAGGTGACATCCACACCCAGAAGGAGACATCCACACCCAGGAGGAGACTGCCACACCCAGGAGGAGACTTCCACACCCAGGAGGAGACTTCCACACCCAGGAGGTGACATCCACACCCAGGAGGAGACTTCCACACCCAGGAAGATACTTCCACACCCAGGAGGAGACATCCACACCCAGGAGGTGACATCCACACTCAGGAGGAGACTCCCACACCCAGGAGGTGGCTTCCACACCCAAGAGGAAACTTCCACACCCAGGAGGTGACTGTCACACCCAGGAGGAGACTTCCACAACTAGGAGGTGACATCCACACCCAGGAGGAAACTGCCACACTCAAGAGGAGACTTCCACACCCAGGAGGTGACATCCACACTCAGGAGGAGACTCCCACACCCAGGAGGTGGCTTCCACACCCAAGAGGAAACTTCCACACCCAGGAGGTGACTGTCACACCCAGGAGGAGACTTCCACAACTAGGAGGTGACATCCACACCCAGGAGGAAACTGCCACACTCAAGAGGAGACTTCCACACCCAGGAGGTGACATCCACACCCAGGAGGTGACATCCACACCCAGGAGGTGACATCCACACCCAGGAGGAGACATCCACACCCAGGAGGTGACATCCACACCCAGGAGGTGACATCCACACCCAGGGGGAGACTCCCACACCCAAGAGGAAACTTCCACACCCAGGAGGAGACTTCCACAGTCTGAAGGAGACTTCCACACCTAGGAGGAGTCTTTCACACTCAGGAGGTGACATGCACACCCAGGAGGAAACTGCTACACTCAAGAGGAGACTTCCACACCCAGGAGGAGACTTCCACACCAAGGAGGAGTCTTCCACACCAAGGAGGAGTCTTCCACACCCAGGAGGAGTCTTCCACACCCAGGAGGAGTCTTCCACACCCAGGAGACAACATCCACACCCAGGAGGCGACTTCCACACCCAGGAGGAGACATGCACACCCAGGAGGAGACTCCCACACCCAGGAGGTGACATCAACACCCAGGAGGAGTCTTCCACGCCCAGGAAGTTACTGTCACACTCAGGAGGTGACATCCACACCCAGGAGGAGACATCCACACCCAGGAGGAGACTTCCACACCCAGGAGGTGACATCAACACCCAGGAGGTGACATCCACACCCAGGAGGAGATTTCCACAACCAGGAGGAGACTTCCACAACCAGGAGGTTACTGTCACACACAGGAGGAGACTTCCACACCCAGGAAGAGACATCCACACCCAGGAAGAGACATCCACAACCAGGAGGTGACATCCACACCCAGGAGGAGACTGCCATACCCAGGAGGAGACATCCACACCCAGAAGGAGACTGCCATACCCAGGAGGTGACATCCACACCCAGGAGGAGACTTCCACACCGAAGAGGAAACTTCCACAGCCAGGAGGTGACATCCACACCCAGGAGGAGTCTTTCACACCCAGGAGGAGACATCCACACCCAGTAGGAGACTGCCACCCACACCCATGAGGTTACTGTCACACAGAGGAGGAGACTTCCACACCCAGGAGGTGACATCCACACCCAGGAGGCGACGTCCACACCCAGGAGGTTACTGTCACACACAGGAGGAGACATGCACACCCAGGAGGAGACTTCCACACCCAGGAGGAGACATCAACACCCAGGAGGAGACTTCCACACCCAGGAGGAGACATCCACACCCAGGAGGTGACATCCACACCCAGGAGGAGACTTCCACACCCAGAAGGAGACATCCACACCCAGGAGGAGACTTCCACACCCAGGAGGTGTAACGGACATGTAAGATTTGAGTGGAAATATGGAATCAGCCATGACAGGTGAGTAGATGAGATGAGGCCACGCCCTCTCATTACAAAGGTGTGTGCAGGAACAGTCTGGTCATTAAGGATGTATATTGGGCCCCTGGGCAGTAGGGTAAGGATGTATATGGGGCCCCTGGGCAGGAGGGAAATGAATAGAAGGTACAAACAATGGTCATCCAT